CCATATATAATATATGATAATATTAGTTATTTTAGGTTGATTATTGCGTGATTTTGATGCCTATATTATGTATATACTTTATTGTTATTTCAAATAATATGTCAAAGAATCTTGTGTGTTCCAAGAGCACATCTTCACTGAGTATTTTTCCCCGAATACTCACCCCTCTCTTTTTTTTCAGGTGAGACCAAAGAGTAGTACTTGTGGCGGTCGTTGTGGTGAATCATGGGCACATTTCTGTAATTATTTTAAGTAAGGATTTTAATTACATTTCCTTTATTTTTTCTCAAATATTTAAGACTTTTCAAGTTCTCGATTTATTTATTTTTAATAAAAGATTTTTGATACTAATAAATATTTAATAAATTTGTTATTCTTTTTAAAAGCTGTTAAATGAGTGTAATTCAAGTTAGGTTATATTTGAGATATTAGAGTGTCTCAATTTGGTATCAAAGCGTAAGGTTAGCCAAACCGGTTCTGACCCGGAAGGCGTTTTGGGACTTGTTGGAATTTTTAATCGGTTTTTAATAAAAAAAAAAAGGGATTTTTTTTCTGATTTATATTTTCTTAATTTTAAAAAGAAGAATTGAAATTTCATATTTCAAAAAAAAAAAAAAAAGGTTTTGAATTTCCTATTTCCCAAAAAAAAACTTCTTACATGGGTAAGAGAGTAAGAGAGCAACGACCTTGACCAAGTCTGTCTTCTTTGATTCTCTAGGTTGAAAATCAGATCCGAATGTTCCTCCAAGATGCAAGACCTTTGTGCAGCAGAAAAGGAAAACAGAAAAAAGTCAAATTCTCCGAGTCGCGCAGCGGAAGCGTTGGGATGTCACGTTAAAAGTAATTTGAACGACACTCCAAGGTATAGTCGATAATCAAGTAGGAAAGAAGCAACCCGCAAATTCGAAGACGAATTCATTTCAAGTAGGGGATTTTGTGACATCTCAAATATTAGTATTGGCCCAAACTTTTTTTTCTTTTTTTTTTTAGAAACATAAACCACCTAATATCCTTCTTAACACCTAATAAGGTCCAAATCCATATTCTAATCTATGCAATTTGTCTCTAAACCAAATCCGCTAAACCAAACCCTAGTAAAACCAAAAATAGAATGGAGAAGAAAAAGGGAGCAGCCGTAAAAGAAAATAGAGAAGAAGAGAAAAGAAGAAAAGAGAGAAGAGAAGAAGAATAGAGGAGAGAAAGGAAGAGAGGAGCTCACGTCCACCACCGGTCACCACCGTCACCACCATAAGGATCCATTGCCACCACAAGTTGCACATATCTAGAGGAGGATCCATGGTCACAGGATCCTCTGATCCACCACAGTCGCAGTTTTTGCTTGCACTGAGAAGAAGAGAGGTTTTGGAGAAGAAAAAGGTTGAAGGCGAAGGCACAGATCCGAGGTGGGGTTTTGTGAGTAAGATTCTCTTTGCTTCAGAGAGAACTAAATCGTGATCGAGGTGTTTCTGGGAAGATCTCGATGCAACAAAGCCATAGGAGAAAACGTCATCGTCATCCGAGTTACGGTCAGGCTACAACGAAGCTTTCTTCCTGCGCAAGAATCATCTGCGTTATCCTCTGCGTTATCCTGCAACCCAGAAATCTGCTCTGACACAGCAACTTCAAAGGACTGTGGATGACACGTTTTAAATCCGATCGAGCTGAATTTTGGTGGAGGGTTTCACAGTACATCTTTCTCTAGTTTCAACGGTGGGATCAAGATTCCAACGGTTGATTGTCGAGGTATGAGTGCATTTCCGAAGCAGCTTTGAAGTGTTTTTAAGAAGGGGCGTTCACCAGCGGCAACCACTTTAACCGCCATATTCTGAAAACGTTATTCCAGGTTCTTTTAAATTAAGGTGAGAACAAGTTTGTGGATTTCTAAGATATATTAGTTGATTTAGTAACGTGTGTATGATTAGTGTATGAATTAAACATGATTGATAATTGGTATTTGTTAATGTTGATTGATATTGGTTATTGATTAGTTATTATGATAATCTCTTTTATATAAAAAGGATTGATTTCCTGGCGTCTCAGCTATACCACATCAAAAAATATTGGAGAAAATAATTGTCCAATTAGAACATTTGAAAGTTACACATCACCAAAAAGCAGAGTTATTGTTTTGTTCAATTAGGCCACCAAACACACAAACGCATAAAAGACGATAGAGAGGAGTCCATTAGACACAGGCCCAAAACAATTTAGCCAACAGCCCAATAAAAATTCTTACCTCCTCCAAACCTCTTTATCACGCTCTCCGTAACAACACTTCTCCGGAAAAATCCCACAAAACTAACTCGATTCGCTTCACTCCATTCCCAATGTAACGCAAACAGAAACTCCAAACTCAATCCACAGCCGTTACGAACCTGTTTCAAAGTTAAACCGTATCCACGTTCTCCTACTGTAAATTCCCATTATGTGGAATTTGAATGAGCATATCATATTTATATAGACCCGCCCTCCCACAACTCCAGCTATACATGTTCTTCAATGATATTTAAAAGGTTAAGCAATGGGATTGATCAAATTGCAATCAGGTCGATTGGTTGGTCAGCACGAATCGACTCCTCCGATACATCATCACAAAACCGCTCTTTTCATGGATTAAACTTCACCATTTCTGGGGCAATTATTATTGGATCACAATCTGTCGGAAGAATGGCTGAGAAGCCACAAATGAAAAAAAATTAATCTACCCTGCCATAAACTAATCTGAGTGCCATAAAGGATGTGATTTTCCGAAAATGCCCTTAATGAAAACTAAATATGGCATTGCTGATTTTGTCTTTGTTTTCTTTTATTTAAAAAATCGAAAAGTTGAGAAATGAAAATTGGAAAATTGTAAAACCAAAACCGAATCTGGTTTCTTCCCATAACCCGAAATTCTGGGTTAACATATTGAACCGAAATCCGAAATCGAAAATTCTTCCCAGAAATCGTTCAATCGAATCTTCGATCCGTTTTCGTTTTTTATCGCTCGGCGCGGTGCGCCGGCCTTCTCTGAACCCGTGGTGTTCGGCAAATCTCGGTGCAGAGCCGTCGTTTGGTAATAAGGTAACTTCTTCTACAGTTTGGGGATTAGGGTTTAGTAATCGATTTGTCAATTCCGGTCGTTTTAGGTTGCACATTGGATAGTAGAGTGGCGTATATATGTCGATTTAGTCTTCTGAGTGTTAAAATTTAACTTGTTGCCGTTGAATCGAGCTGAATCGGAGGTTTGTAAAGTGAATCAGTGAGATATGGGACAACTGGTACAATTAGGTTAACTGAATGGAAAGGAACAACTGGTACAATTGGGTTAACTGAATGGAAAAGGACAACTGGTACAATTGGGATAACTGAATGTAATGGGAAAACCGGTACAATTCGGGTAAGTAAATGGAATGGGACAACTGGTACAACTCGGTTTACTGAATGGAATGGGACAACTGGTACAATTGGGATAACTGAGTTGAATTGGTTAACTTTTCAGGAATGGGACAATAGGGATAATTGGGACAATTGGGACCCGGAATGTATTGGGACAACTGGTACAATTGGGATAACTGATTGAGATAAGTGGGACAACTGGGACAATTGGAACAACTATGGAAAAAAAGGAAACATTGTTATTCGTTAATGACTTAGTTTTTTTGGTTTTGTGAACAGAAGAGGATGAGCGGCCACACAAACATACATTTTGAGTATGGAGGATGTTATTATAAGGAAGGAGAGGAGTTTAAATGGATATCAAGAAGCTCCATCTATGCTATATCATTTAAAACCTCTTTGGATGAGGTAACATATTCGATGGTGGTAGATGGTATATGCAAGAAGATTGGGGTAAACGATAGTGAGAAGAAGCTCAAGTTAAGCTACATTCCGTTGGTAGCTAAGCCACTCAATGAGTCATGCATTGTTGATGATGGTGATGTGTATGTCTATCTAACAACTGTGGATAAAGAGGGACTTAGATCTCTTTTGCATGTGGAGATAATGGAAGATTTGGAAAGAGATAAGATTCAAGAGCTAGAAACAGGCGATATTATGCTTGAAATCGTAGAAGCAGCGAAAGAACAGGACGAACTTGCTATTGTGGCTGTACCTGAGACTGAGACACAGATAGTGATTGATGATACTGTTTCACAACCGGATGATCAGGGTTTAGAAGAGCCTGCAGAGTATGGTATGGATGAGCATGATCACGTTGAGCCTGCTGGGGCTTCAGAACCGACTCAGTTTGTTATTGAATGGGAAGATGGTGCTGGTTTTGAGAAAAATCAAGAATTTCGATCGAAAGAGGCGTTGCGAGTATTGGTTGACAGAGCTTCGTATAAAGGATGTTTTGAGGTTAAAACAGTGAAGTCTGATCCTGGCCGACTCATTCTTAGATGCCGTCAAGCTGAACATGGTTGTTCATGGTATATACATGCTGTAAGAATGAAGGATTCAACTTACTTCAGCCTTAGAGTATACAGGAAAATGCATAGTTGCTCTCGGGTCCTTACCAGCACAATTGAGAACAAAAGAAAAGGTACTCCACAAGTTGTAGCAGATGTTTTGCGTGCATCGTATCCAGGTGTAGTGGACACACCGGCTCCTAGAAGTATTGTGAAGGTTGTTCAAAATGAAGCTCATGTGAATGTGTCCTACTCTACTGCGTTGAGAGGAAAAAAACTGGCGATTAGTCAAGTGAGGGGTAGTCCGGAAGAAAGCTTTCAAAGATTGCATTCTTATCTGTATGTGTTGAAGCTGGTGAACCCCGGAACAGTGACGAGCGTGAAAGTGGATGCTAATAATAAGTTCAAGTATCTTTTTGTTGCTTTGGGTGCCAGCATTGAAGGCTTTAGTTCAATGAGGAAAGTCATAGTGGTGGATGCGACTTTTCTTAAAAATGTTTATGGTGGTATGCTAGTATTTGCCACGGCTCAGGATCCTAATCATCACCATTACCCTATTGCAATGGGTGTAATCGATATGAAAAAGACTCTAGTTGGAGGTGGTTTTTAGAAATGCTGAAAACTGTTATACCAGATAATCCTGAGATCGTTTTTATGAGTGACAGACACACAAGCATAGCGAAGGCAGTGCAGGAGGTATACCCTCTGTCTCAGCATGGATTTTGTGTGTGGCACTTGTCTCGTAATGTGAGGGGTAAAGCAGCCAATGGTTGGAAGGATTTGTGTTCTAAAAAATTCATTGAGTGCGCTCATAAGTACACCGAAAGTGAGTTTCTAATTGCATACACCGAATTTGGTAGAATGTTTCCCAAAGCTGCGGAGTACTTAGAGAATGGTCTTCCTCTTGATAAATGGGCACGGTGGAATTTTAAAGGGGACAAGTATAACTTGGACACAAGCAATGCCTGTGAATCAATGAACAGCATCTTCAAGAAGGCGAGAAAGTATGCACTATTGCCATTGATTGATGCGTATGTTGAGAAAGTGTCTGAATGGTTCAACAGGCATAGGAATAACATAGCTGGTGCATCATATTCGAAGAAACTGGTGCCGTATGTGGAAAACGAGTTGCATAAACAATGTGCAATTGCGACCAAATTAGATGTGACTGAGCTAAATCTACCTGGGCTTGAATACTGTGTTGTTGGAGTTGATGGGAAGAGCTATCTGGTTAATTTGGAAACAAAAAGTTGTGGTTGTCGCATGTTTGATATTGATAAGATTCCATGTGTTCATGCAATAGCCGCAACCATTGCAATGATGCGGACGTCCTCAAGAAGAAGAGACTTACACATTTTCGATTTATGCTCGAGATACTACTTGTGATACTTGGGCGATGGCTTACCACAGAACCATCTATATGGTGCCGCATCATTCTACTTGGATTATTCCGGAGGAGGTAGCTAATTTAGTTGTTTACCCACCAGACTATACCAAAAAAGCAGGAAGAAAGAGGGAGAAGCGGTTTCCTTCCACCGGAGAAGCTCGCAGGAGTCAGAAGGCCAACCCAAACACAAACATTGGCCGTTGGTTTCAACCACTAAACCCAAGGGGCGGTCAGAGCGGTCAGAGCGGTCAGAGCGGTCAGGGCGGTCAGAGCGGTCAGGGCGGTGAGAGCTAGGCCTAAGGAATATTTTAATTATCTTGGATTTCTTGCAATACTATGTATTTTGGAGTAATTTGTATTTTGAATTTCTTGGACTTGGATTTCGAGAATGTCAACAGGGCAACTAGGTGCAATTAGGTGCAACTACGTCCAAACCCAGGCAAACTACAAACAAGTAGGACAACTAGGACAACTATGACAATGTGGACAACTAGAACAACTAGGACAACTATGACAATGTTGGACAACTAGAACAACTAGGACAACTATGACAATTTGGACAACTAGAACAACTAGGACAACTATGACAATGTTGGACAACTAGAACAACTAGGACAACTATGACAAATTGGACAAACTAATTTCTTTAAATTCGTAAACACTAAACAAATCCAAATGACAAACCATTAACTACTGGGTACTCAACGACTACCACTAAACACTTTAAAAAAACCCATTATTTTCTGAAAATAAGATATACCATTTGTGTTTCTAATGAAATAACCCTTATGGTATAAGGCATTTTTTGACAATGGTTTCCATCTTATAAGAGGCTACACGTAAAAATATGGGAATTACAAAAGTAAGGGCGCGACACCCTTGGGGCATGTATAAAATGTTCAAGGGTTAAGGGGACAACTAAAAAAAGAATGTTCTTGTTAAAGGACAACTGAAAAAACTTAAAAATCGTCCAAAGGACAACTTTGACAATTTTGGGACAACCGGACAACTAGGTACAACTATGATGTCAACATAAATTTTGGGACACGGGCATGTATAAAATGCACGTGTTTAGAATGGCGACAAGGGTTTCTTCTCCTCTTATTCTCTTTCCCAATTTTTCCCCAAATAGGTTTTCTAGGGTTTCCGCCGCATAATGGATAAATATCAGATAGCCCTTGCGAAATTGGCTGAAAAGAAGAATGATGGCTCTTGTCTTGCCTAAGAAGGATTACGGGATGACCACTAGATGGGGACCCGAAGTCAATGGAGTCAGGACCATTCTTCCATGCCCTGTACAAAAGGGAATTCCAAAGGTTTGTTATTGCGGCATAGCTCCAATTGGGTGTTTAACTGACAACTCCGCGCTTGACAGGGGCCGAAAATATTTTGGTTGCTTCTACGGCTGCTGTGGCCCCAAAAATTTCCCTGAAGTAAGTCAATTGGGTTTTCAATTTTGATTTATAATTTGAGTCTCAGGGTTTATTTCTGAGTTTGGGGATTTCAGGTTCCCAGTTGTGGCTTCAAGAAATGGTGGGATCTCGCTATAATCGAAGAGATTGAAATGTTGAATGATACTCAAGAAGCCATGCGGGCTTTGTTTGACACTGTTTTCTCGAAGTTAAACCAGTTGGAGTCAAAGGTGGCATCCCTTGAAGCAGCTATAAAAAAGCGTTAAGGATGAAGAAGATGACCTTTTCAGTTTGACCTTTTTTCCCCTTGTTATGTTGCTACTATGCTTTGATTTATTTTGAACTATTTCTCCTAAATAAAACTACGCAGTTGTACCAGTTGTCCTAATATTTCGCATATAGTTGTACGAGTTGTCCTTAATAAAACAAGCAAATTGAACCAGTTGTCCTAATATATCGCATATAGTTGTACGAGTTGTCCTAAATAAAACAAGGAAATTATACCAGTTGTCCTAAATAAAACAAGGAAACACATAATCTTAAACATAAAACATCCTACTTCTTGGCTTTCTTGGCTTTTCTCGCAGAAGTATAAGGCGACTTCTTGTACTGTGAAATCTTCCTGGCCCTCTTAGTTCCACCTCAACCTCTAACGGCCTTTGAGGAGGATGCTTCTGCTGGTGCTGCGCTTACATTGGCCGATGCAGGTGGTGGTGCAGTTGATGGCCGAACATCCCAATACATGAAATCAGCTTCCTCCGATGTGTCAACCAGTTTTACCTTGTAACGGTTGTTCGCCACAATTGCCCTCACTATCCCTTGATGCCAGACATCACGCTGCAACACCTCCACACGATCCAACAAAGCATACGACGAGTTTAGGGTAGGACGTGATGCACCTCGTCGTCCGGTGGCAACTGGTGAGGACGCGGCTGGTGGTTGACCGGTGGCAACTGGTGAGGACGCGGCTGGTGGTTGACCGGTGCCAACTGGTGAGGACACGGCTGGTGGTTGACCTGTGCCAACTGGTGAAGAGGCGGGTGGTGCAGGGGATTGGTGAAGGACTAACTGCTCAAGCGTCGCCACTCTTTTTTCCAACAGACCAATGGTAGCCCTCAGCTCCAACAATGATGTCGACTCAGGTGCTGGTGCTTGAGGAATCTCGACTCTGCTCCCTACACCCCGATGTTGAATCTCTAACTCATACAAAGATCTCCAGAAGATCTTCTTCTTCTTCACCGTGAGATGATGCATCCAATCCTCAACACCTACATCAATGAGTCCTATCCCATCATCATATCCAGGATCTAATATCCGAGACAATAGTTTTTCTTCACCCGAGTCTGCAGGCTTCAAGATGCTATGGATGTCCTGGCAACAAAACAAAAGAAACAAATTAGTGACAAACCAAAATAAAAGAAACATAGTTGCACCAGTTGTCCTAATTGTCCCACGACCAATAATCTGTAATATTGCATAGTTGTACCAGTTGTCCTAATTGTCCCACGACCAATTAAAGAAACATAGTTGTACCAGTTGTCCTAATTGTCCCACGACCAATTATATTACATAGTTGTACCAGTTGTCCTTATTGTCCCACGACCAATAATTTTAATATTACTATGTTGTACCACTTGTCCTAATACCACTACAACCAAGTCAAACATAGTTGTACACTATTGTCCAATAACCAAACCAATCAAATACTAACCTTTACACTTGTTCCAATTGCTGAGTTTATATCATCCAATGGAATGCCTTTCATGCATACATCGGCGAACTTGTGCTTGCACATCCTCGGACAATCTTTCTCTGCAGGTACGGCTTCTCGAAATTTTCGCCCAAGGCTAGGAATACACTCAAAAGCAAGTATCTAGACACAAAGTCAAAAAATTAAACTACTAATAAATGTAAATAATTTAGATTCTATAAACTACTGAATGAGAATTACCTGTAGAGGAATAATGAAACCAGACAAGGGACATTCTGCTTTTTTGCCTTTCATGGTGCCATCAAACTTTGCCATCACACGCCGAATCTCCTTCATCATGTCATCGAATGTGTAACGCCCCCAAGGGAATGATTTACACACATTCAAATCACTGACAACTCTGAGCAAGAACGGATCAATATTACCATCAGTCTTGTTAGTGCAAATAGTTAGTTGTCCTAGTTGTCCTAGTTGTCCAGATGACAAACGTTATTTCATCAGTCACAGTTATTCCAGTTGTCCCAGTTGTCCAAATGCCAAACGTAATTTCTAATCACACATAGTTATCCTAGTTGTCCTAGTTGTCCAAATACCCAACATAATTTCATTCAAATAGTTATCCTAGTTGTCCTAGTTGTCCAATGACCAAACATAATTTCGTTTAGAGTATACTTACCTCTAAATCTTCGTCTGCCTCTTCGCCATCCTCTTCTTCCGCTGAATTTTCTTCCTCTTCATTTCCTTCCTCTTCATGTCCTTCCTCTCCTTCTCCCTCGTCGTCTTTCTCGGGTGTCCCCCCTCCGTCTTCGTCTGCTTCTTTCTCGGACTCCTCTTCTCCACTATCTTTCTTGGATTGCTCATCCTCGACTTCCTCTTCCCCTGTTTCTTTCTCGGATTCCTCTTCCTCGGCTTCTTTCTCTGATTCCTCTTCCTCGGCTTCTTTCTCTGATTTCTCTTCCTCGCCTTCTCTTCCTGAAGCCTCATCCTCAGATACATCTCTCTCGCCTTCTTTCTGGGATTCTACCACACCCTCTTCCTCAGCTACTGTATCCGCTAAACCCACTTTTTCAGGTTCCTCGCGAGATTCCAACCACTCCTCTAGTTGATCCGTCGCACTTTCTTCCATGGGTGTTGGTGCGGTTTCTGGGGCTTCTTTGGTGGTTTCCGTACCGGCTGGTTCTGATTCCGTCAATGATTCTTCTTCTCCCCGAGTTTCTTCATGGGTTGTTTCTTCATCATTCGCCGGAGGGTTTGGTGTTATTCCGGGTTCTTTATCTTCCATATCTGCTTCTTCGCTGCGCTTGGGTACAGATTCGTTCGAATCATAGACCACACCCTTAAGTCGAATTTTAGCCATCGAGTTACGCTGGATTTAGGGTTTGTCTTGATGGAGTTAGAAGGCTCAAATTATGTAATACATAGTACGGGAATTGAAGAAAGGGTTGTTGAAGAAGGAGCAGTTACAAAATCGAGCAAGTGTCGTTTGAAGGGGGAAGTTACAGAATTTTCGGAAGAGAGAAGGAAGTGGGGAAGAATCGGGGAAGATGAAGAGAGAAAGGGGGAGGGAGGACAAAATTTGATTTTCGTTTTTAAGGTTATGTTGAGTGGTTTTCAAAATTAAATTCATTCGGTTCGGTTTTCTTTACCCAATTCTCGGTTTACCAATTTCAATTCCCTGATTTTTGATTTCAAATTAAATAATTTTTTTTTTTTATTTTATCCGGGTATTCGGGTCGGATATAAAACGGGTGGGTTTAACCCAGGTATTTTCGTGATTTTTGAGATATATAAGGATAAGGGTATAATTAACCAGGTTTCTATTAATAAATTTAATTCGAAAATAAAATTGTTTATAGGGAAATGGCTTTTTAGCCAA